GCTAATTCATCTATATTAGTACCCTGAAGTGTCACCAGCGCAGCCTGTACTGACTGTGGCAGTTTGGACAAGAAAAGTTCTCTGAAAAGTCCTTCACAAACCGACGTTAGCCAATAACTTCCCTCATTCTTGTAAGCATGCTCACAGCTGACTGATCACTTAACTCCACTTTGCGAAATAATTCGTCCAGACGCCATCGATCAGTGAGAACGTTTCTCATTAGGAGGATTCCTTTCAACAAATCGTACGAGTTAATTCTCTCTGATCTAGACAGCTGCACAGTTACGCACATGCTGAATTCCAACGGCAGGGCGTGAACAACTGCAAGGAACTGTGAACGTTGATCAGTTAACCCATGTTCGCTAGAACCAGTGGTGTAATACAAGGTAGTGTTCTTGGCCCTATTCTATTCCTCTTATTTATAAATGACATAGTCTCTGTAATCAAGTATGGCAAGCCATACCTTTTTGCAGATGATCTCAAGATAGTATATGATTATGGGTACGGTGATATGAGCGTCGAAAGCAAGATCCAACAAGACTTAAATGATCTAGGCGATTGGAGCGAAAAGTGGCAACTGACTTTCAACCCAGACAAGTGCGGTATAACCCACCTTGGACGCTGGAAACCGATAATGTGCCTATATATGTACGGTAAGCTCCTCTCAAAACTGAACACAGTCACAGATCTCGGGATAACATACTCAGATTTATCCTTTTCCGATCATGCAAATAAGGTTGTATCTGACTGTAAACGACTTACTGGCTTTGTACTGCGTAACTTCTACACCCAAGAAGCAAGATTAGCTATATATAGGACATGTATCCGTCCCAAACTTGAATATTGTGCTCTCCTATTTAGTAACCTCAGGACTGTAGACAGAAAAAAAATCGAAAGTGTCCAGAGATTCCTCACGAAACGCATAATAGGGTTCGACCAACAAGTGGAATATGTTGACAGGTGTGTACGTCTGAAATTAGAGCCTCTGTGGTTAAGGAGAGTGAAGTGCAACCTATTTCTACTCTTCAAAGTCATTAGGAAACACTGCTACAGTAACTCATCCATAACTTGGGAAAATATTAAATCATATCAGCTGCGAAACCACGACTACCTTGTCAAGGTGGCTACCCACAGAAAATCCATTAGGGCAAACTTTTTCACCATAAAATATTGCACTCTTTGGAACCAACTACCACCTGAAATAAGATGTTGTGAAAACCCTGATGGGTTCAAACGGAGCCTAGAAAGACACTTTAACATGTCCACCCTAGCTCGTCTAAAAGACCACAACTGTTGGTAGAACGGAAATTGAAGGCCAGTCCAGTCTTCAGTATAGTCACATACGTATATCTCGACTCTAATACTCACGCAGCGAACGTTAACTAATTTACTGATTTCTATTCTCTATAATTTTCACTAAGTTGTGTTGGTAAAAGTAACACTGGAAATAATTGTAATAGCATCCACACCTTTTAACGTTTTACATATGTATATACTAATATAATAATACTTATTAATCATGCATGTTCAATTCTTAAATTAGATGGTCATTAAAATACTTAAAATGATTAAAATATTTATGCATCAAATGTTCTCTTGCTTTACCACGCTTGTTTCCCTTATAACACTCAATTATTGAACCTAGTGTAATATTTGATATACGAATTATATTATTGATTATACTCTTATCATATATGGTTTGATTTACTCTACGGCTCCCTGTAGACTAACTACCATTCTTCAGTATACACACACTGCAGTATTGTTAACCAAATGCCAAAATTTCGTTGGTTCTGTGTTAATATCTTTTTATAATATGTCTAGACACGTTACTTTGCAATGTCAGATGTTTACTATATATAAGTACTCTAAGTCCTGCCAACCGACCTTACCTTCAGTCCATACTACCTAAATTGAACCTTAACTATAGTATTCTGCTAAATCTTGCTCCACTATTCACAATACCTATTCGTTTTACTCTTTAAGGTTTTAACTTCTTATAAAGTAATCTGTTCATCAGGATGCATGCACACATATATAATATGTTCGTAAAGATGTACGTGGAGACCTATTGGAAGCACTCATTAAGAAAGCTAGGGAGATGGAATATGGGGTACGAACATGTCTGGTACCAAGCAATATATTTGCGGTAGCCATAATAATCATAGTCTCAGAGCCTAACATCAAAAAAGGAGGGAGGGTGGTGCTAGCTGATCAGTAGATATGGTGGTGGTCACTAAGGTGAATCGCCCCATTCTGCAGGAACAGCAATACGCAAATTAAAGGCTCGAGATATTTCTGATTTTTATGAGGGCTTAGATCTTTATCTTGAAAAAGATAATAATGAACGCCTTGACAGATCATGCTTCTACCTTTAAATATATACCATTCGCTCAGCCTATTGTTGAGATGCGACCACGTGGGATCTGCACAGATTTATGGGGCATCTTATAAATTAACTTGCTATCCATTGTCAGATCTTTAAATACCACTTCACAATATCTTGTCTCACTTATTTTCTAATAACGTCTTTACTTGATTCTCATTATATTCCATTAAACCTAACATTTTATAGCTCTTTATGAATTTGATTCGACTTATTCTATTCCTATTCTCTGGAGGGTACGGTTGTGCACCAAATAGACAAAAAGACATGAAATAAAAACAACTGGCTTGAAAATAATTGTATTAAAGCCAAAAGTGGACATCATGATAGTACAAAATATATTGGTTTCATTATACATTGCAAATGAACGTTGTCGGCCTAAGGATTAATTACTTCCCCATTCTGTTTTCTATATAAATGTGTTTATTAATGATATATTTCACTCACTTAATCTATTACACTTTAATGTTTCACCTTAGCACTTTAACTTTTCTAAAACAGCTTCCAATTCCTTGTAAACGTTGTACTTACCTCAATATTGGTTGGTTATCGTATGCCTACAACCACGGGATGAAAACGAAACGAAGTCGATTTTCCCGCTCAACCTGGAGGACAACTGTACAATTCAATAACTATACGGCCTGGTTCAGACAATGAGTGTATTATATATATATATCAAATATTTAACTGTTGAAACATTATTAACTTGTAGACAATTTAAGATTTGACATTATATCATACTTGATCGTGCCTGTAAAAATGGCATGCATTTTCATGTAAATTTATGTTTATATGAAAATAAAATTATTATTATTATTATAGAATCAAACTCAGCTATCTGGAACCATGATTCAGCATTATCTGGCCAAAATGGTACAAGCTGAATGGTTCTGGCAGCTGAGCGAATACGGATGACCTTAAGGTATGATCACTCATGATGGAATATATATGGTGTGCGTCGGTGGCACAGTGGTTAGGACTCGCGCCGATCATGCACATGGTCCGGGGTTCGAGCCCACGCCGACGCACACCTTGATATCTATGGTCGGCCTGCGAAATTTGGGCTACCGATATCCGTGCTGAAAATTTCATACTTGTACCAAAAATACGGTGTGGAATCAAGCTGCAATCAAAAAAAATAAAAAAATTTTAAAAAATGGTTTATAAACAGTACAGGAACAAATATAAAGTGGAATGAACTCACCGGATTTGTCTGTGTATTTGCCAAAGATAAAATTCGCGATAGGGATCACCAGTTTAGAGGCTGAGGATAGTGACGGATATTACGAAGTATACTGTCGTAAGATTTAATACCCACAACTTCCACAGTATTCGTTACGCGTAGACCGAAGGCGAAACAAAACACAAGAATTGATCGTCCAAATTACGAGATATATTTCGGGACCGAATCGAAGTGCGAAATTATTGCTTAGCTAGCTAGGGATCGTGCACGAACGAACGAACGTGACACGATGGCGTAGCAAATAGCGTGGATGCTTGACCAGAAGCCTTCAGCTAAACAAGTTGACTTGAACAGTGAGGGACAGCATCCAATGTTTAGTGATGAATGCTGTGGCCAATAATTTTGAGGAATTATTTACCGCTACAAGCCTGTAATATGAAGTGTGGACAACTTATTCAGATCACATTTTGGCTTGAGGATCTAGTAGAATCCGGCAAAAGGTAAGGGTGTTTTTTGCACTGTGCAAAACTGCAACCGGCCTAATTGCACACTTCAACATTTTAGAGGACAGTTTATTACCTTATTCATTATGGCCACTTCTGCGCGACTTCAGTAGGTAACTAAGGTCTTTTATCGACGAAAATATTCCGTGGGGAGACCATCTTGTATAGTGTGTTACAACTCAACAGTAAAAAAACTTCCTAAATATACAACAGTGCCCTGCCTAAGTCCTTATGAAACTCATATATGTCTTTACAGAGAAGTCGCAAATATCATCCCAAGTCGAGAAATAAGATTCCTGTCCAGAAATGTAGCAAAGAACAACTAATTATTCGGTACAAACTGCTACAATAGACTACGCATGATACACCTCAGCACATATTACTGCTGCCTAAGAGATGATCTGACCAGTGTTCACAATGTCCAAGGAAAGAGAACCCCTTGAAAGCATTATCTGCAGTCTTTTCCACCAGACCAACAGGGGAAGCTTCAAACGGCGGATAAGTAATAATGAAAAAAAAATATACTCAGTACGATTTCAGCTACCTGTCAGTCAGATCAAATTGATATGCAGTCACCACATTCTACAATGCTGACAACAGCCCCGCACTTTGCTTGACTTTTTACCCTTGTAACTTCTACTGTACCTAGTTACTCAATATATTTGCTTATTTATATATCTCCCTTCTTCATTTTTGAAATCACTCTAGTTGCTTTTACACTTATTATCACTATTATTTGTATCTCATTATCTTTCACCACAGCTAATTTTTAATGATCGAAACGACTGACAGTGATCACAGTAACCATATAACAAGAAAGCCACCGATTGCATCTGAAGTTATTGAACTTTGAATAAACTTGAACTTCTGTTTGTTCGCATTACTAAGTCTAGCGACCCACAATACGAATTTTTTATATGACAGCGGGATGGATGTAAGTGATTCTGCCGTTTTATATTTAGTTTATTTTCTGGCTGTCTAGAGGTATGACACATCGAAAATTATATATTTGTTATTGTCTGGTTTAATTGTAACTATTCCTTAATGATCCTCGTTACACGTGACAGTATAAAAATCAGTCAGATTTACCCTGTATAATTTATAAAACAAACCAGAGTACTGGATACAATCTTGTCATTTTTAGGCCTAAGAATTAGTCAGTTATTTCAAGTTTTTCACTCCATTCCCTCGTATCTAGGCTTTTAGCAATCTTGTATTGACTTAAATTTCTTCGTTAAAATGTTTGCATAAGTAAATTTCATTTAATTTTTGTTGTTGTAAGACTCGAGTATTTTTTCGAATTTTTGCCGTTTTTAGTACATCGGTTGTTTTAGATGAATTAATGTTGATTATTTTCGTAACAATATCTTAATTCTCTATCTTTTTATGTAAGTCGTCGATAGGATTTACAGTGAACACGAGTCACTTATACAGACTAGTGTTTATGATACCAAGAACATGTTTATGGCCATATTTCATCTGTGTAAATATTTTAAAACCCATTAGCATCTTCTTGTTTGTAACATGTACATTTCTACTAGCAGGTCTGAAAAGTCATGTGTATATTTCTAAATGTATTCTAAACTGATTCCACTGATCTTGTGAGCCGACTGATTGACTGCACTAGTGTTTCAATTATTTGTTTTTTTACCTCAGAAGACATAAGTCTAATTATTAACTTGATAAGTCTTCATGCTTATGTTGCATATATCATCGATTGAGTTCATCCTAATAATCATTTCTATTTCGTTTTTTACACAGGTGCATTACAAAACCTATGCTAGTCGGAGTAATCGAGATATTAGGTTTGACCAACTTCTTCGCACCAAGCCGCTGTCCACATGTACTGCCTCTTCAACTGCATTTTCAAAATCAAGCGTAACTGTTAGCTCCAGAAAGAAAGTTAATGTAGTGTCTTTTGTTCCTACTGGTGAAGGACAAGAATTAATAACTAGGTCTCCGGAAAAGATTGTTTCAGACAATACAGATGGCTCCTCTATTTGTTCAGGAACCATACAGACCAGTGTTTCGTCACAGTCATACACATTGCATTCCACCTCAGACTTGACTCCTACAAGTTCTCCAATTTTATCGTATTCTTTTGCATATAAAGAATATTCTGATTATTCTGCAATTACTTCTGTGGCGGATACCTCTCGTAATCCCTCTTCTAATCACAAGTTCAACCGAAGTCCTGTTCGTTATGCAAATTCCATATATGAACAGCATCCCTGTACACTGTCATCTCAACCTACAACTTTACATTGTATCACGTCTAACTCTCAGTCAGGTGTTACAAGTTATCGAAGTCTATCTGGGGTAACTGCTACAAAAGTGACAAGTCAACCAGTGATTCAAAGACTGGACAAAAGTCAAATAAACCCGGTAGTAACTATATCAAACAGTCAATTAAAGACGTACAGTTGTAATAATATTGCAAAAAGTATTCATGACCGTATTCTGCCTAATCCATGTTCTGTCTCAACATCAGATTCAATGGATCCTTTGGCTATAAATGTTGCCAAGCCAACTGGACGTCCCATTCTAACGGGTAAAAACAAAAGAGTAAGTGATATCTTAATAATCATTTTATACATAGCACTATGACAGTTATTTTTATACTTTGCTTGATTGGTACATTTAAAATCATTGTTAAAAACAACTAAGTTTGTACTATAACCAAACTGAAATATACAAAGATGAAAATGGGGCTGATGTTCAATACAGAATATAGTGATTCCATTCTCGTACCTGGCAGGTACCTCACCGTCAATAACTCACTATCCCTCTTGGTCTCCATAATCTACCATAATCATACGTGTACTATTGCTAATCGTGGAACGTTAAGTGATAGTGGTGAGATTATACTTACGACATGCAGACTAACCTGTCATTCGAATGGAAATATAACTTCACTTCATAAAGTTTTATAATAAGTAACTAGTGTCTAACAAATTCTTTACTTAACAATAGAACTTTGCAGAGTACTACCTGCACCAGTTGTGTTTGATATTGTGAAATTTACTTTTTACCAACCTGAAATGTGTCACTCATCGCCTTACATAATGTAGAACTTTACACAAGAGTGCATCAGTTCAAGTTGGTATACTTCGAAGAAGCAAATGACTGACTGGTTTCAATGCAGAACTTTATACAGATGTGCAGCAGTTCGAGTTGCCACTCTCCCTACATGTAGCACACAAAGCAAGAGAAGAGACTAGGTAAAGAGAGACGCTAAATAGAGAGAGATAATAGTATGACAGAACAACAGTTATTGGATAAAGCCTTGCTTTAGTTTGACCACCACTAGCTCTTTTCTAACCTGATCCATCCTACATCAGTCAGCTACCATTGCTCGTTGAAGAGGGCGGTGGCTAGGCATGTGTAACACATGTCCAATCCATCTCAGTCAATGTGACTTCACAACCTCGTCAATTGATTTCTCCTCCTTACCTAGCACTCGATCGATGCCTAAACTCAATATTGCTGACCTTATTATACTACTTAGCACACATGGGAGATAGGACACAAACACCTATGATCAAAGACAGCTAACCGGCTTTTTCATGTCTACCACTTTCAATGGCCATATCTCTCTCAGTCATAACAAAGAAACACATACAAAGACAGATAAGATGAAGTGAGACAATGAATAAAGTTGCATGGGATGAGCGTTTGTCGGGAATTCTACAGTCTGAAAAACTACACGAAGTGACTGTATCTGCTCCACTGTTGCCACTGGTCGAATCCTAATGTCTTAGCTAGACACTTCATGCCTACCTATATAGCTTAAAACAAAAGCCAGAGACTTCATGGCTGAAACCACTAACACTGTTCCAACTTACCATTGTTTCATTTAATATTGTTCCCTGAAGAAGACGGCGACTGTGCACGGTTAACATCTCAACCATCTCATCGACCGGTTTCTCTTCTTTACCTAACAATCGTACGACTAATCTCACTATATCTGACCATATTGTTCCACCTAGAAAAAGAGATTGAACTCAAAAAGCTATAGTCAAAAATTACTGATCTTTCTATATCATCTGATTTTAACGTCCATGTTCCAGAACCGTACAGTAGGACGAAGCGAAAAGATGACAGCACGCTTCATTCGCTGGACAGTTGAATATCATGCTGAAGCCAATGATGATTGATGCAGGTTGACAAATGTATTTCCATAAAGGTGGAAGGTCAGATGCGACTGTCCGGCTCTTAAAACCGGACTGGTAGGCATGGATGTCCAACTAGGAGTGTTACAGTATCCTGATTCCGAACCTATAATGCACATGGACTCTAGAATACGAAAGAAATGAATATCGTGTGAACCTGTTTTAGTCACTAACGTCCGTGTGAATGCAGCTCCGAACTTCATCGTCTGCTTATTAAGGTCGGATAGTCTTTGTTCACTCAGCAGATCCATAACACCAGAGTTGTGATCAATAATCCGCAACAATATGTCTAAAAATCGTCGTCAATGGCTGGCGCAGATGCCATTTATAGTATCCACTAACCGTCGTTCTACCATATTACTATTCTTTTTGCCTCACACTTCTGTTTATTATCTCTCTCTATTTCGAATCTCTCTTTACCTAATCTCTTCTCTTGCTTTGTGTGCTATATGGAGGGAGAGTGACAACTCGAACTGCTGCACATCTGTGCAAAGTTCTGCATTGAAACCAGTCAGTCACTTTATCTCGATTGGGTAAGGGGACCATGTTAACCGGCGATGAAGCATTTTTATCCAGTATATTGAATACTGCCACTGAGTACCAACTGAAATGTTTTTCAAAACGAATTTCTCGTGGCACCAGACGTCATTTTTAGTTGTTAATCTGCAGTCTGTTGATACGTATTCACATAAAAATCGCTTCACTGGTCAGTTTTCACTCTAAAAAAGAAACTTCCAACGTAACGGGACTTGACGACTCTTAGTAAGGTTACAGTTAAGTAATGCAGCTTCGGATATAGTGTTATATGTGAAACCTATGCCAACTAGGCTGGAAATCACTTGGTCTCAGGATAAGTGCATGTAAGACGTACTGTTCGTGCGACATTCTGAAGCACTTAACCGTGATGTTGCACGTGGATCTCTTATTTGCGGTATACGTCAATAGAGACACTCGACGGGCAGCTTGAACTCGACATGTAGTGAAAGAATAGCCGAGTTAAAGATCGCACTGGTGGTCAGCTTTCTGAATGCCATCCGTTAACAACTGATAGTGGTACAGACAGACTGCGATTTCAAATAATAACGGACATGTGACAAGAAACATTACTTAACAAAAAATATTTTATGTATAAGAATGAGTATATAATCATAGTGGATTGAATGGCTATATTGGTTGATCACGTGGGATTAACCATTGTCAAGTGTCTAGCGTTATTAGCTGTGCTGTCTGAATATTGTCACTAGGAATGTCTCTGACTGCGGCAGTACTAGGTGACTGGGCTTCTAATTTAAGCAGGTTGACTCGTCAGCTGTCGTGAATAGAACTAGTACTAGTCAGTTATCACAACAACGTGAACATAAATTGATTACTATTGACGTTGCACTTCACTTAGACACTTATTAGCTAACCACTTATAAATCTTTTTCATTGGAGTATGTATGCTCATCACATAGAAATGAACTTCAATCTTGAGCGTCCATTTATTTATTCATTTGAATGACAAGTTCTTATCCTTGACATTGTAGTTAGTCATCTGTGTCGATTGTCTGTGTGTGCCGATTGCCTCCAACCATCTAATATCATCAAATCAATATGCACCGTGATGGAGAGCTATCTAGAATGGTGGCCACAATACAAACCTGACTGACAGAATTCAGTCTGCAACAAAGAAAAGGACTAGACACGTCACACTAGTTACTTGTGTCCAATCAAAATACCCACTACAGTCCTACAGGAGGTCAATCGCGAGCCCGACTATCTCAGTGGTAATGCCTCTGCAGTCCTCACTGGATGACGCGAGTCCGAATCAGAAGGGACCTGAGTTCCTTCGGGGTTTCAGACACGCCTTGCTGACGAGTGCCAACTAGCACGAAACCTAGGTGGTGTCCAAGGCTTCCTGTGGTCGATTGCCTCCAACCATCTATTATCATCAAAATGTCGTTTCATTTCACTATCGTAACTCGACTAGTTTCAACAAAAAGCCGACACATGAGCGAATGGCTTCCCGTTTCTTGTTAATACTTTATTATTAAATGTACGAACTTAATAGCTAACACTAACATTATGTTGGAGTTTATTGAATATCACCTAAAGTTACCTCTATTGATGGGCTTTAGATGATGCGGTATTGCCCTTCTTCAACTTAAGAACAGTTCCCAGTTTACTAATTGTCTTTGGGTCACAGTTTTCTTTCATGCCTGAGGTAGTTGTTGCAGCATCATTTGTTATGCAAACCAAGACACTAGGACTCACAAGTATGTCTTTTCCAACAGTGAGGAACAAAAATGAATCATATGAAATGATAGTATTCAGTGCACCCCACCCTCCCGATCATTGTGTATTTCTTAACTGCTACTTAGTTTTACCTGCAATTGATTTCTATATTCTACATTAATTGTATAGAATTTCTCTGTTTTACTAGGCTGCTTACAATCCACGTTCTTGGCAAAAAGATATTGAAACAGAAGACACTTCACCAACTAAATTGGTAAGTCTGTTTTCTATCTATGCAAACATATACAAAAATTTGCATTGTGTAACTATTTTGATTTTGATAGTTCAAACTGTTTGGTGCCGTACTTTCTAGCAGGTGTGGATTCGACAACTTAGGCAGTAATCGAAATGAAAAAAAAGTGTAGAGATAATTCGTAATGTTTAACGTCTAGAGGGGAAACATCTAATAAAGTACTCGTATGTTTTAAACAGCCGCATTAGTCATGCAAGGTACAGTCACAACGTTGCTTCATTAGCTTTTCTTTGTGGGAACAATCTGTCAGTAAGTGGTTAACTTATTTGTGTTCATTTCGACATCGTTCTACCTTCGTTCAGTTTTGATACTGTTACGAATTGTAAGCAGCTGTGAATTAATTTATGCCTGCACAGATCTTTGTGTTTATCTGTTTGACTTGTACGATATGAGTGGGAGATATGAAGTTCTACTGGACGGTAACTCAAGCTCAATCTAGGCAACTGGGTGTAACATCCCAAACACCTATGAAGTGTAACGTGCAGCGTATTATACAAACGCATGATGAGTAGTTGTGTTACTGCATACGTTCATCGCTGATAACTTGATTTTAGGGTGTCCATCCTAGCGATTAATCCTTTGATGCAAACTGTGAAGGCATCAACGGGACTCTAAGTTTTATCACAGTATATACATAACATAACAGAATACAAGGTGCCCTATTGTATGAGAAAGATAAAAGTTTGATAACTGTCTTGTGTATGTTATCAATTAATCAATAATTGCAAAGTGCAATAATATAGTATCTAAAGTCTTAGGTTCAATAATCATGCGTAGACTAAGTGGTGCTCGGGAGGCACAAACACGAGAAAGCCAGGCAGACTTTAGACCAGGAAGAGGGTGTATTGATCATATCTTCACCCTCCGACAGATTCTAGAACATAGGCATTCCTACCGGCATCCAACAATCATTATATTTCTTGACCTAAAGGCGTCATTCGATTCTGTCGACCAAGAGGTTCTCTGGCGATGCTTGGCTGTAAAGGGCGGATGCCGAGAAAATACATTGCACTGATTAAAGCACTCTACTCGTACTCATGCAGCCAGGTGAGGGCTTACGGCGGGTTTTCATCTGAACTGGTGACGACTAGTGGTGTCCGTCAAGGATGCCCATTATCCCCATTTCTATTCAACTTCATCATAGATGTACTGATGGACTTAACCCTAAGTGACTTCAGCGACTCAGGGATTGACTTGCTACCAGGGAATAATCTCGTTGACTTGGAATATGCAGACGATATAGTCCTATTAGACGAGGACGCTGAAAAAATAGAGAAGAGTCTTCTAAACACCTTGAGCAGCAATCTACGAATGTTTGGCATGCGATTCGCTCCCGCCAAATGCAAGATGATGTTACAGGACTGGACTACATCGACGCTTAGTTTAAAAATAGGAAGTGAAGTGGTAGAGCACGTTGACCGCTTCACTTATTTGGGAAGTAGCATCAGCCAACGCCAACGGGTTGATCCCTGACGACATCTCAGCTGAGTACGGATACAGAGGGCTAGTTTCGCATATGCCAGTTTACGCCGTCTCTGGCGTGGACGTGATATCCCGCTGGCTGGCTGTCGACCAAAGGGCGGGTGTACTGCTCATCAGTCCGCTCCGTCCTCCTTTATGGCTGTGAGACCTGGCCATTGAGAGTGAAAGACATGTAAAGATTAGCTGTCTTTGATCATAGGTGTCTGCGTTCTATTTCCCGTGTGAAGTGGTATAATAAGGTGAGCAATATTGAGGTTAGGCGTCGATTGCTAGGTAAGGAGGGGAAAACAATTGACGAGGCTGTGAAGTTACATAGACTGAGATGGTTAGGACATGTGTTACGTACGCCTAGTCATCGCCTTCCTCGACAGTGGGCAATGTTAGCTGACATAGGGTCAGGCTGGAAAAGAGCTATCCAGTGGTGGTGAAACCAAAACATGGCACAAGTCAATGACATCCACAACAGTTAGTTTAAGCCAACCAGTCACGTAGGAAGGTGTCGACTGGCCTCCTGGTTGGGGTCCTCGGGACGGTAAACACCAATGGCGGCTAGAGACAATTGGTGACATGGCTCAAAATCGTTCTCAGTGGCTGGCGCAGATGCATCCACTCCTTGTGACTTATGATTTCCAATGAAACTATATTGTTCTTCGTTGATACTATTCCGTTGTCTCACACCTCTGTTTACTGTCTTTATTATGCCTTTCTTCTCCTGCTTTGTGTAGTACATGGAGGGAGTATGGCGACTTGAACTACTGCACATATGTGTAAAGTTCTATGTCGAAAACAGACAGACAGAAAGTGCAAACACCTTTTAGCTTACTAATACAGGTGTGTGTGTGTGTGTGTCATTCTCTTTGGTCATCCATCAGTCTGTAACAGTACACATCGTTTCACTTCTCATTGCTAGTTCAAGATTTTATTGTTGGGCGATGGTAACACGATGTCCCTTGAGAATCTGTCTCGATGAGGTGGTTTATATTTCGTAAATTACTATACTGTGTAACCAATTCATCACACAGTAGTCAGACATCTGTTCACGAAGCTGTGACTCATTAGTGTAGACGCTTGATTTCTAACCAGTCGGGTCGTGGAATTGAACTCCTCTCCAAGCACTGAAGTTTGGGCAGCCACAGGCATCATTACCAGTCTTCACATAATAGCGGTGAACCATTGCCAACTTCATGGGATTGCAAGTGAATGTTACGTAACACATTTTGAATTGAATTCATGAATAATTAATTATGCCGCCATAAGGATTCCAAATTCTCCAGATGATCTTGTTCATACAGTACTTCTATGTATCAAAATTATTCACTTGATTACTGTCATGTGTTAATAAACACCAGTGCAAGTTATGAATGTTTCTCTGTGTGGCGTTAAGTACCATTTTTCCTAGTGTGTTATCTGTCAATTCCTAAGGTTTTTACGTCTTACATCTATACACTTGACGGACCCAAGTTAGGATACACAGAGCCTGTCTCTCACCCAAAAGAATAGTGAAAGCTACTGAATAACCATATACATTTTCATGTACTTGTTAGTAGTTGTCAGCCTCGCATATTATGTAACATTAATTGGTAATACGTGTCTATCGAAACATCACTAGGTGTGGGACAGGGGGTCTGTCTGTCTGTTTTCGACATAGAACTTTACACATATGTGCAGTAGTTCAAGTTGCCACACTCCCTCCATGTACTACACAAAGCAGGAGAAGAAAGGCATAATAAAGACAGTAAACAGAGGTGTGAGACAACGGAATAGTATCAACGAAGAACAATATAGTTTCATTGGAAATCATAAGTCACAAGGAGTGGATGCATCTGCGCCAGCCACTGAGAACGATTTTGAGCCATGTCACCAATTGTCTCTAGCCGCCATTGGTGTTTACCGTCCCGAGGACCCCAACCAGGAGGCCAGTCGACACCTTCCTACGTGACTGGTTGGCTTAAACTAACTGTTGTGGATGTCATTGACTTGTGCCATGTTTTGGTTTCACCACCACTGGATAGCTCTTTTCCAGCCTGACCCTATGTCAGCTAACATTGCCCATCAGTCGAGGAAGGCGATGGTTAGACAGGCATTCGTAACACATGTCCTAACCATCTCAGTCTATGTAACTTCACAGCCTCGTCAATTGTTTTCCCCTCCTTACCTAGCACTCGACGCCTAACCTCAATAGGGACGGGGGTAAGCATTGATGATGTCCCATTCAGTTGGAAACAATGAATCATACCTCCATGACGTTTTAATCATAAGATGGTTAATTTTTCAAGTTTGATCACAGATTGATATCAGTTTGAAAAAGATTGAAAACCATTATACTAGACGGGCGTTTCGTCCTATTCTGGGACTCTTCAACACCACATGCCTAGAATCCTCAGGTTACAGGTCGGCGACGTCGTTAACCACTCAAAGCAACTTGGAGGGAATCCAATAGCCGATCCATAAATTCTAACTTCTGCCAATTCGCAATTTTATCGCGACTTCCAGGCAGTGTCATTGGCGAGTAATTACCCTCATACACTGCGACTTGAACGACCCTACACTAGTCATGACTTCACACCAGAACTCCAGGTAAGTTAGAGAATCACTAGTGAGTATCAGATTATTAACTTTTAAGAGTTAGTTTTTTAGGGATTTAATTTTTCTCCATTTTAACTCTGTTTATTATTATTTTTGGTTTCAGCAAAAATTGATTGAACCATTCCCAGTTTCACAAACCACCATCACCGCAACAATAACAACAACAGCATTAACTACTACTACTACTGTAGTTAATTCTACTCATTCCTCTACAAATAATAGTAATAATAATAATAATAGAGCTTCATCATTCTTGACTGCTCAAAAACCTAATAATCGACAAACTTATTTAACTGCTAATAATAACCAGTCGAGTACAAATAAATCTGATAATTTTGCATTCCATGACTTTGATGATGAAGAAGAAGACAATGATGAATTTAAAAAAGGTTTTAATCCTTCACGTCCTCTTTCAAAGTCCTGTTTACCTTCAGTGATGAAAAGTAATTCACTGAAATCATCTAGTAATCATCATCACCGACATCAGTCCTCAGATGAAGACGGTGATGATGGCGATGGTGATGAGGATATTGAAGACGATGTGAAACCATGGTTTCGTCCAGCATCTCGTGAAAATACTTCTATCAAATCAATGGATAAACTGTCCATTACTTCAACAAAGAATATGAAAGTTAGCCGGTCAGAAAAACCTGTGAGTTTTTGTCTATTCGTATGTTGGTTTGTTTTCATGATAGCTGCTAGCTTGACGTGGTGGTCGCCGGGCTTGTACATTGCGATGACCCAACAAGCTACACTGGCTGGAACTAATCTTCCTGCAGGTCCTATCATGCCAGGAAGGTTGTTAGGATAGCGATTAGACTTACTGTAAGAATCTTTCTTACACTATTCTGGGGGTCTGAGGGCGAAATCGTACTGCTGGAGAACAGGAGTGTAACAGCAGTAGTAGGGTGTTTCCCTCAGATGACCAGCATGTCAGCCAGCTATGCTGTCTCTCCACTCTGCTGGAGAGAGGGGGTTAGAAAAGGTCGACCCCAACAATTGAACATACCGACTTACCCAATCTACGGTGGTCCTTGACCGGCGAAACTAATCACAGAAACCAGTTCATACAGGCCGTGTGTGGCGGACTGGCCTCAAGTAGTTGTCCCCTGGGCTCTGCGGTCACGCAACACTAACCCCCTCGCCGTTTCAGGTACTCGAAGAATCAATCAACTTCCACAGTGGTGTGGGCAACCGGGAAGTAACAACCGCCCATACACTTTCACAGTCTAGGGATGGCTAAACCCTGATTCCAAACCTCCAACGACTGGCGTATGAAGCTCACCGGAGTTCACCGGCAGACGTATGGACAAAGAGCTTATTGGATGTCTGGCCCCATTCAAAAGGCGTATGAACCGGTCACCGGCTGCCAATGGATAGTGGACTCCCTACTCCACTCCTACTGCCTTGTAGGTCACACTTGGCTGTGTAAAGGCTAGAGCTGCACTCTCAAACAAAAGGCCGAGCGATGCTGGGGACATCACTCGTACCCAATTCCCATGAAACTTCATCAACTCTCTTACAAACATTCGAGATGTTCATGAAGCCGGTTCATCCTCCCGTAGGAGATAGCCGAACTAAAGACTTCTTTGATGTGTATTATATTGAATATAGTAAAACTTGGGAACACAACTTGATGCACACTTCAGGCGCCAAGAGACATGCTTCACCAAAACCTCATAGTTTGTACAAGAGAGCTAAAATACTACTCGGATGTATAAAGCTAACACAGGTAATTGCCTTAAGGGACGACCACCCCCCCCCACACACACACTCTTAACCAAGAGCTTGTTGCTTGAATTCTGATTCACAAAGCAGTTGAGCTACATTCTCATGGTTGGAGGTAACCATAACAGATTGGATCCTTTCGTATTCTCGAGTACATATACACTGTTGGTTTGGAATCAAAGTTTTCAGCTCCCCAGTGGGGGAACACACCATGCGTGCTGTGTCAAGGTAGGTAGTAAAAATCACGTTTCTGGCAGAAACTGTGAACACATGGTTACATGAGAGTATTTCTAGATGAAAACCTAAGTTTACTCACCTTTGGTCACATCACATCCTTAGTGAGATCATAGTGAGAGCTGGCTGTTAGCCAAAATTGGTGGACAGTAATTGACGTCAATGTTTATGTCCCCAATATTGATCGTGAGAAAAATGAGAACAAAGGCTTTGCGTAGGCGGATACAGTTAGCGTATAGATGATCTGACATTCAAAAAACAGCCACAAAGAGATGCAAGGCTAACTTTCTGTGACAAACAACCAATTAGAAGACTGTGTTTTCCTGCTAACGATAATCTAGAATAATGTACATGAATATCTATAAATATGGGTTGATTTTCCTTAATAAACGATCTGTTGCCTGGCCCTTGTCTTCTGTTGTTACAATAGTAGGCATCTAGGACTTTCAGCTTACTGAAGAGAATAATGGTACAGAGACTTTAAAAGAAACTAACTTTTTAGTCCAATAGTCAATTGATTGAACTAATCTGAAACGTAGTCAAAAACTTCACTTATATAATATAACCACCTCTGAACGCCAACATTAGTGTTAATCTTTTCTGTTGGAATAACCTCTCTATGCCTGCTTTTTGTATATATATATATATATATATATATATTTCACAGTGCTCGAAATTGACAGAAATGCCACATTAGATAAGTCTATTTGATGTTGCTGAATTAGACCACTTTATTCCTTAGAATCTCATATCAACTGATTTACACAACTTGCTTTGTGTAGTTTTTCACTCCTTCCTATTTATCAGTGCAGCTCCTTGGATATCCGAGACTGGTGTAACGTTATTTTTATCACATGTTCATGGTGTTGACTCTATCGAAGATATTCAAACGTTAATCTCTCTCTCTCTCTCCCTCCCTACCTACCTATATTACTGTTTAGTACGTTAACCTTATCCCATCTTGGGATCGATTGTGCATGCTTCCGAATGGCGGATTCTTTTCTAGATTATGTAACCTAGGAGGGGGGGACGGTCATTCTAGACCTGGCAAGCTAACCGAAATCTTATTCTCGTACACTAACCATACCTATGCTTTTTCTGTTCACTTACTAAACTGTCATGGACATAAGCGTGATTCATAGGTCACCATTATTTTCAACTTTGGATAGATAAAACACTGAGTCATAACCAAATATCCTCGTATATGTATCCGGGTGACGACAAATAAAGAAAAAGCACGAGGGGAACAAGTCAATAGAATTTGTTTAAGAAGAATACTGTGCTGTACTGAGACTTCGCCATTAGTCAGTTCATTGGGAGAGATACAATTGGTTCAGGATTTCACATGGCTGACATTGGTTATTGGTTTCAGGATTTCATCATGAGCTGACATTGGTTCCTCAAATAAATGGGTGATTACCATATCTAAATTATTTCAATAGTTACAGATAAGTTCTTTTGGTTCGTATGTGGATGATACGCACGCCAAGCATATTCAGATTTTCTCTTAAGGGGTTGAAAAACTGCACTTCGTCAGTGTCTTTACACCTAAAAGGCCAATACTATCTGCCTACTCCCCATAGAATTTGTGCACAGAATAATTTATTTGGAGTTCTTGTGAGAAGTTGTGACCATTGAACTATACTAAACCGTGAGGTATGAGAACAAATGCCCACTAGTGATAGTGAATGGTAGTCGCACTAAAATAGCGAACTGACAGAAGTTAGAATTTATGGATTCCAGCTCAAGTAACTGACTGGTCAACGAGCCTGTCCTCATAACCTGTGGGTCTCGAGGGTTTGGTTCCCGTAATGTGAAGGTGCTGAATGCACACTGCTAAAGAGTCCAAAGTTAGGACGAAACAGCTGTACAGTATACTGGTCTTGTCAGAATTATTTACCGATAACTTTCCGAGCGCAATTCATTATTCATTATCATGTCAACCTTTCATACCCTCTTTCGTTTTGCTATGGTTGATTCATTGTGGTTCATTTTATACCAGTCACACATATTTCCATAGCATATATGACAATATTGTATGTAGAGTAGGTTTTACCAAAATTTCGATGAATTCATTAAATCCTGAATATATCTTGAAAATGTTAAGATACTTACGTAATATTCAAATATCCCCCCTTACCTCTTTCTTCTATTTTAAAGTTATATACTGTACTACGCAAAGTAAAAGAAGCACATGTTTGTCAAGAACAAGGTGAAGCTCAACATTTACTCGATGATGTTGAATATTTAGTCGATGGTTTAGCCGATCGTAATCAAGTCAATACTCGTGCACTAAGGTTAGTTACTTTTATGCCTTTTTCGCTTCCTAAGAAATTAATGATTTATTGTACACTGTATCGGAGGTTGTAGAGGGTGAGGAGGGAGCGCACCTCTTCACTGTTAGTAACACCAAAGTGTCCAAAAGTAGGTCTATTTCATTGTTCCGTAATATATCCTCCTTTGAGATTGGGATTTTGTTTTGTGGTTATGTGGACTAATTTCGATGTAAATATTATTACTAAGTAATATCAGCTAGAAATCTTTCAAAACCATAGAGCAATGGACTACAGTTTCGTCCTATCTTGGGACTCTTTATCAGTGGGCTCCGACAACCCCAATAGGTATCATAGACAGAAGACATTCAGCTTATTTTAATCCATATATTGTAGACCATATTGCACAGTGGTTAAGACTCTCGCCGACCATGCACATGGTCCGGGGTTCGATCCCCTACCGACTCACACCTGATATCAATGGTCGACCTACAAAATTTGGGCTACCGATATCACATGCTGAAAATTCCATACTTGTACCAAAAATACAGTGTGGCATCAAGCTGTAATCAAAAAATAAAAATATTAGACTCTGTAAAAAGATACATTTCATTGGTCTAGGATTCAAATCCCGAGGCCTCAGAATTACTAGTCCTTTGGTTTCATTTCTACCGATATCCAGATTTTTATGCTACATTGAAGTATCACTCGCTACATCAACAACAGTCCGCCAGCCAAAAATTATCTCAGCATATTTCATTTATGTGTACCCCATTTTGTGATGTCATTGAGATTATTGCAACTCAGGGAAACTTAATTCTCTTTAGTACACAGTAATGAGAGATATTATTATTATTATTAATCCCTTTTGCTTCTGAGTGGATTATGTGGCTTCAACATCACTTCTCCAATTCATTCTGTTCCCTGCAGTCTATTTATTTTAGCTGGCTCTGCGATCGCCCATACTCTTTCATCACCTCACACAACTTCCTCCATGTTAACTTCGCATGCTGAACCTGTGTTTACTATTCGGTTTCAACTCGAAAAAAGGGGTCTTGTTGGTGTCATGTCGCCCAATGATCTTCTCAACATGTATCCGTGTTTTTATATCTCCATTTCTTTCGGCATATATTTGTAGGGCAATAAGTTGTTTTTGATTTGTTATCAACCTCCCTTTATGCATATCTTTTCTGGCCGATTGTTTGATCTCCACGATCGGGGCAGCTATAATAAAAGTCTGCAGTAATCTGTTAGAAATGCCTTACTTGACGCGCATGTCAGGTCTCTGAAACATGTTGAATTACTAATTTGACATTAGCGATGAAGTTTGAATATTATTATGCGGGGGAGGCACTTGATTATGAAATCCTGTTTCAGTTTGTATATTTGTTGTAGCACATTGTGATATAGTAATGTGACTTTTACTAGACAACGTTTCCACTACAATTTATTCCTCATAAGTCATTTCAAAGTAGATCATACAAGGTTCAAAACTAAGTTCTGTTCATCTATGGTATGTCTCATTTCTTCACTTTTATTGGTATCACAGATTTCCTAATATTTACAATATTAATCCAATAACACGTGTGTGTTTGTGTGTGTGCGATGTTGATTGGATAACCAAAGTCCCATTAATCTAAGTCTGTCTGTCTGTCTCTCTCTCTCTCCACTTATCCCTATTTGTATGCTTTGTGATGGCTGAGCTTTCCTCTAGAAGACTTGTTTCGCCTAGACAGACAGAATTAGTCAGTGTGTATACAGCGAATCATCTGTGTTCTTACTAAACAACAAATGAATGAACTAACTAACGAACTAAATGTGTGATCAACTGCTTTGACCTATGCACATTGACCTCACAATCATCATGACATAATAGTTGATGACACAGTTAAATAGTTTCTTTTCTTCAAAATGCAGTCTACGACCTTTCACCCTATTAAATTGCTTGTAGATTGAAATGCTACACCACCCTTATCACAGTTTTATTAAAAACTCTGTATAGAATTTCTGAGTTATATCAACGCTACAGTAGAGGTGTTTTTACTAAGGTATCACTTGTGTTGCAGTTACTCCTAGCGTCATTTTGAAGTATTACTATCACGAATTACTAGAAGTTAGAACTAATGGGCTGGCCATTGGATGTCGTCCCACTAGCTGAATGAAACTTCAACGAGCTTTACTTGTCAACTCAAGGACCTGGGTTCATTTCCTGGTGGTTGGTGGTGTCATGGCTGAAGGATCTCAAAGTAGGACGAAATTTTCTGTGACCAGTATTGCCTTGTTAGTTATTTAGCATCGCTTTGATACGTAGAAATTCTTTATTTCAATACTTGTATCATCCCGTAAGGTAGTACCTCGGTCGATTAAATTTCTGTTTGTCAAACCTACATTGATAAACACTTGATGGGAGTGAAGTGTTCGTCTCCGACGTACACTTGTATGTATGATACGTATCATCTTGTCGTAGTGTTTCTTTTTTATCGAATCCGACATCATTCAGTAGTAGCCCTCAGTGTTGATTTTCTAATTCATAAGTTTGACACCTATGGAAAATGTCTTTCGGCTATATGTTCTGATGGAATGCAGGCACATCCGCACATGACGAGTCCCAGATAGGACGAAATGCGCATCCTGGATTCCACTGCTAGTCACTATTCATTAGTTGACTTTATGTTCTTGTTTGTTGAATGCAGTGATTATTGTCTAAAGTTTTATGTCTACAGAATATTATCGGATATCCCGATCACACACACACAGTACTTGTCATATCCACAATTATATTAGACTCAACAGAGCATATGGGGTCACAATGTCTTACCAACCATAGGTCAAAGTGTTTACAGGTCATGACGATAGATAAGAGAAAGGATAATGTGCGTTAGGGGAGTGAGGGAGGGGGCTGAGGTGAAAATCAAATTGGATTACCTCAGGTGGCAGGATCAAAGTAATATATATATATATATATATATATATATATATATATATATATATATATATATATATGAATTTCTAAGTCACTATTAAGATCAAGTATATGACTTGTCTCCATGATGTGGATTACGATCGGTGATGTGGAACATCTATTTCCAGGATTAATTTTATCAGGTGATTTCATTGTTCTTGCATCCACTTTGGATATGCTGTGTAGCGCCTGACCTTCAGAGATCGATGGGGCCTTCGTATGTACATGTGACCACACTTACATGTAAATTGATAATGGGCTATAACGCTATCGTTCGGATTCTATGAGGGTGTAAAGGACAACGTTTTTTGTCTCTATGAAAATGAGTTTAGCTGCCTAGTAAGAGTACTGTTGCGTGATGTTCTGAGTCCCTGTTTATCTGATTAGACTTTCATGATCATTCTCGAACCGTAAAGATGTGTAAACATCCTTCCTAGGAGCTGATCGGATTGGTATCGCCATATGTTTGACGCTTCTGTGTAGCGTTTTATGAATTTTATAAGACAGTTAGCTAATATCTAGGAGTATTTTACTGAAGTTACTTAATGCTTCTTCAATGGTATCGTCTGTACACAAATGTTGTTCAGACATGCCTGCGTAACTGTACTTTCTGTTTGACTTTCATCATTGATCCAGGCAACTAAATTGTTGTAATATTCTAAAGCATTACAGAACAGAAGTTTCTGTAATACAGGGTAATACACTACAATCCTTTTTCTCATGTCCATAATGTTGATGTCATTCATGGGGTTTTAAGCAATGAGCTTGTCACGTTTGTTTTACCGGTTCCCCTGTCGTATTGTAACGACAGAAGACAAGGGTCAGGCAGACAACAGATCATTTATTGAGAAAATCAACAGATATTTATAGATTTTTATGTACACTATTGTCAGCGGAGAAGCAGTGTCTTCTAATAGGTTGTTTTTCTGCTGAAGATTATTCTGTCATCTCTTAGTGGCCGTTTCTCAGACAGTCTGGTCCACGAATTGTACCTGCCCATGTTAAGTCTGATGTGATTGGTTGCTGAGTTCCTCAGGGTAAGGCTTTGTTCTTGTTCCTTCTCATGACCCCTATTTAGGATGTGAACAATGACGTCAATTGTTGTCTACAATTTTGTCTTACAGACAGCTCTCTCATCACAATATTAGTTATCATTCTTGAGGAAAGCGCATTGATTAATACATTACTTTATTTTATTATAGAAGAATTGATTTATGATTGAGGAGGTCTACGAATCCTTAATGCATCAAGGGTTCAATCGTAGGAAAGCTCACCGACCACGCCACACGTTATCTGAGGTTTGACTCCCGACCAACTGACTCCTACTCCTCATTTAGCTAGTAGAGTAGGTCCGATAAAGAGGAACAGCTTGGGTATGGGACTGGCTAGCAACCCTTCCACATTAAAGAAACAACAACACCACTTCTACTGAGATTTCAGACCTCAAGCTTGTGAAACCCCAATATTCCACTCGCAACGTAACAGAATAGCAAAAATATAAAAAATCCTCGATTTCTTCAAACAGCTGTTCAGATAAGACATATTAACATATTTGTTAATTCACCCCTAATTTAATCATCAACACATTCGTTATAAATATTCTTTTTTCCGGTTAATGCATTCCAGTTAAGCATTGTTTATTGATCAATAAATATAGGTGGTTTGTTGTCATGAAAGTAATAGAAAGCTTGCTCTACAGGTCAATAATGACTTAGATCCGGCTGTGATTATTGATACACGTTCTCATTTCACTTTCACATTAGTAATTCGTTTTACATTATTATCAAGTTTTTATTAGGATTCACGGTTGTTAGAAGGATAGATGTTTGTTTTGTTGGTGGCACTTCGTCCCACTTGAGACTTGTCAGCTGCTTGTGTAGCTCCTTCTCTCCATTGAATGGAGACATGAATCACACTGTCTAAAGCATTTAGCTTTCAGTTAATGGGTTCTGACTTCAAATCTCTTCCCCCTCAACCAACTTCATCCCTCACACAACAAGGTGTTTCTCAGAGTCTGAACCATGAAACACGTCTTCGGGGAACCTAGTTCAAAGCCTTCCCA